CCCCAAAACCCCAAAACCCCAAAACCCCGTATGATATCATATAGTTACACTCTATAAAAATGCATAGTTATTAAATTAATAATAATAGGTTATAATCATACAGACACACATTCTAATGTTAAACATTATCAATGATAGAGTTGGTTCCCAAATGGTAATTGAATATGTACAAGTTCTTATAAGTTAATTTGGAATCTATTTTTCAGATCAACTTGATTTTTAATCACTCTCGGATATTTAACTTTTCTAATCCTGATCAGAGTAATCATATATAGTCCTATTAGGAGATATGTCCTTCTTGTTCTAGGCTGTAAAGGATCTTGATTTCTCAATTCTAGTGTTATTTATCTTAGTTCTGTTTAATATGTCGAATTACATATACTTATCGTTAAAGTAAGTTTTACTGTTGAAATTATTGCTATCTAAAGCATTATTTTACATGTTACCATGAGTATTGTTTTGACTCAAATTATCAGTATATACATGACCACAAAACAAGGAAGATAAATCATCTTCTAGTTCCAAATAGGACATTGAGATATTAGGTTCTTTTAGTTGCATCTACTACTTCTTATGCATTCTTTCTCGATGGCTTAGTCCATACATCAGTGAGTAAGTAATAGACCCTATCGGAGTTATAAATCCAAAGGTTAAAATAATGAATTGATGAATCGGGCTATAAATAATAAATCAAGGCATATATGAAAAGCTTACAATAGCCAAGTACCATTATTAAAACTTTCATTAAGGTCTTACTGGAAATCAAACATCATAATGGTGTTAATGATTATTCTGCATATCAAAGATGAAATGATGCTGATGAAGGAAATCATAATCTAGAACATAAATATAAGAAAAGCTTACCTTTCTACGTTCTCTTTGATAAAAATTAGGATAAAATCCCTTTAATCGATTAATAAGCATAAAATGCACAACAACATAGATTATCATTATGGTCCCAAATAAGATCGTGATGAATAAACTTAAAAATACATGAGTGCTATCAAGCTCACTAGATTATTTTACGATCATAAGTATCATGATGACGCAGGATGAAATAGCTATGGTAATTTGAGCGAGAATTAAAATGATGAATAACCTCTTTCGGTTTTTTTTGTATAAGTCTTCTTTTTGGCTAATAAAAGTTTGCGTTGCAGCTAGAAAAGTACACCTAGAGTTATATTTATTGATATAAAAGATATTACCATTTGTACAGATCAAAAACAAGAGCGAAAGAAAAGAAGACTATTGCCAGTAGATTCATTATCATTATAAAGTTAGTGTCATTGAGGAAATCGATTTCTTCAGCACTTATATTTATTATGAAGCATGTGATGTGTATCATTAAAACTAACAATTATAGCTAATGAAATTACTTACAATTTAGACTCAGAAATATACAAATGACTGAGAGCAGTTAGGGTTTATCAGAGAATCGAATCAATTTGTACACCTTGTAAATCAAATAGGCTGACAAGATGAAAAATAATAAGGTGATCATTCCTAGAATGATCATTACAACATCAAGCTTCATTACCGACCGCCTTATATTTTCTTCTTATTCATCCCCTGGTTAATCAGCTAATTCTTGCTTGATTCAAATAAATCAGAGTTCTGAAAGTAAACTTTTAATTATTGTGATAGACATTGCTTGAGAATTCATTTTTAATCCTTAAATTATTATAGATTTTTTAAATAATTAAATCATAGTCTTTTATTTTAAATCATAGCTTTCATTGTTAATTATTACGCTTGACGGGGTTTTGGGGTTTTGGGGTTTTGGGG